TTTAGAGGCCCACCTGGATGTGTTCCTGTGTGATGTACTCTAGGTGACCCTGCTCTGGCAGGCAGGTTGGACTGGATGATCTTTTGAGGTCCCTTCCAACCCCTATGATTCTATGAATCTGTGAACTTGAACTTTCCAGCTTTCATTATCACCTGTAATGACCACCACTACCACACTGAGCCCTGAAAGACTTCTGCAATGAACAAACTAACAACTAGGGATCTTAGAAGACCCAGCTGAGAACATTATCTGTATGCAGCATGCTGTGAAACATGAAGATTAATATAAAGATTATAGAAATTAGAATGGACAAGTGCTGAAAAAAGGACCTTTTCTCTCCCCCTCCATCCATAAACAATTTGCCAAGCCTAACTCCCCTAAAGAGCAACAAAATGTGAAGGGCACTTTGAGATTTACTACCAAGGACTCAGCTCCAGTGGCTGTAGTCAGTCTCACCTCTGCAATGTTGCAATTCAGACAAGCTTCCAACAGAACAGCAGCATGTGAATTATGTAGAGACTTGGGGAGGAAGGGGGTAATTGGGCAAAAAGATCTGAAAGCAATTATTTCAGAACTGGAAAATGATCTTCATTAGTGTGAGATGAGAAAGGGCATTTGGTTTGGTTGTTATTAAAGGTAATTCTGAAAGGTTGGCAACAGGCTTCAGCTCCCTTTCCATTTGCCACTGCTGACTGTGTAGTGTTTACCTTCTGTTCACCCAGAATAAGAGACTGCAGTTCACCTGCTTAGATTTGAAGTGTTAACCCAAATCACCTACAGGAAAGGGGAAAGAAGCAGCCAGAAAGACACCTGAAGAGATGTGTTAAAACATGGGACAAATAAATCTCTTCACAGGCAGCTGAGTGCCTCTTGAAGTATAGATTTTCACCAAGGAAGGAATAACTTGCTCACTAAATAGAAATGACAGCAGCAGAGTGGAAGGAAATGGCAGCTTTGGGCTGAACTTTCAAGCCTGACACGCCATTTAAGGTCTACAACCAACATAATATACAGTTTCTCCTCTATTACTACTAACATCTCTTTTGGCTACACACAAGCTGGTGAAAACCTAGGAGGCAATAAAAAGACAACATCTATTCAGTGCAAACAATAACACCTGAGTTTAGTGCAATTTTTTTTTTAAAGTGGTCTCTAGATTTCTATTCAAGATTCCCCAAATCACTGCCACAAAACAGACCATTCTTCAGAATCTACCGAGGGGAAGAAAGCTGATTTTTCAGATTATTTATCACTCTGCACAAGTGCATACATGTGGTTCCAAAATATTTATCTACTCGAAGTTGCCTCTTAGTTACTAGCTAATGAGGTTTAACTCATCAACTGAAGAGCACAGCAAATCTGTCATGGAGTTGGTTATTTTTTCTCCTTCCCTGCATTCCTTTCTGTCCCTGAAATAGGTACGTCATCGCACATTAAAGTTTTGTTTTGGCAGCATTAGCTCCAAATAAAAACACCGTAGAGGCAGCCACGTGGGAACTTTTCTATGCAGCTGTTAGACAGCAGGATGGGTTCCCCGCACAGGAGCGGCTCCAGGCCCGCGGCCACACGTCCCTGTGGGCTCC